TAAAGCCCCCTTCAACGTAGAATAAACTATATGTTCAAATCCAGTCAGGTATTCCTGAGCAGTAGACAAAAAAATAATAATCCTAAATCCTTTAGACAATTACTGAGCTGTCCCTGGTAGGATAGTGGTTAAGGCGCAGCGCTCTTGCCGCTGTGGCCTGGGTTCGAATCAGGGTTGAGTCAAGAAGGGCATCCGGCGTAAAACACGTGCCAAATGTCAAAATTCGAGTCGTCAGTCTGACGATTCGCTGTAGCGACCCCTAAACGGGAAAAGCCGAAAGTGACCTTCTTTCTTTAGACAAATACTGCACATGGACTCACTGAGGGAATTCAGTAACTACATCTGGGCTTACCACTCTATTTGGTACACAAGGTTGGGGTTCAATTCCTTGTCAATATCCAGCGTGGGCCCCTAGCAGGGAGATGCCTTGCATTAAACCAAGCACCCCCTTTTTGTGGTCATATCATCACTACACAAATTCATTCCTTCTTTTAAAATTGTACATTTACATGCAGTTCCTAAATCAGGCTGTCTGCAATTGGGTGCATTTAAAATTTGTTTATTTAGAAAAGCCCAAGCTACAGTATTGACTTTTTAGATAGTGGTGTGACAGTGGTGCAATGGGAGGAGCAGTTGTTTCCCAACCAGAAGATTGAAGGTTCGAATCTTAGCACCTGCAGTCTACATGTCAAAGTGTCCTTGGGCAAAACACTGAACCCCCAAGTTACCTGTGATAGTGGTCTGGGGCCTTTGGCTCCAAACAAAATTTTGTTGTATGTGTCACAATGACAAAGCCTGCATGTTAATCCAACACATTCAAATAGATACCATTATGCAAAAAAGTATGTTGGTAGGAAAATAATACAGCAAATTGCAGTACAACTCATGTTAGACTATTGACATATACACTGATCAGGCACACCATTGTCCACATTGTAGTCAGGTAGAGAATAATAATAATAAAATTTATTTATAAAGCACCTACCAACTCAAAGAGCTACATCAAAAAATTAAAACCAAACTCATCAAAATATCAATATCAGAATAAAAATCAACTAAGTAGACATTTGACAGGCACCTACATTCATCGATCTATAGCATAATTCCTGTCCAGGCTGACACCCCTCTTTCATAGGTAGCCAGTGAAGGGACGCTAAGATTGGGGTAATGTGAGCATATCGACTGTCAGTGAGCAGCCGGGCGGCGGCATTTTGCACCAACTGCAGCCTGGACAACGATGACTGGGATAAACCGGAATAGAGGGCATTGCAGTAATCAAGCCGGGACGTCACGAAGGCGTGAATGTCTCTCTCTAAGACTAGAGCATGTCCTGTTCATATGCAGTGTTTATAATGAGCAACGTGCTCGTATGATAGTGTTAATGAAAAAAAAAGATTACTAATATATCACTAGAGAGCCTTTTGGGCAGCAACTGTAAGACAGTATATAAAATTGTAATTTGTTATTTGGCAGATATAAGTATTTTGGATAGGATTTAGTAGTTTATGGAGTTCTAAGAACCATTTTTTTATTATTCCTTTGACTCTATTGTTGTTCCACACTCCAGCCCAGCAGGTGGTGCTAATGCACCTTAAGTTGGCTTGCAAACTGCCAATAAACCTCACAGGAAAAATAATATTATGACCACTGACAGGTGACGTGAATATTCACTTACTGATGAGCTTGTTACAGCCACCTGTTAGTGGGTGGGGTATATAAGGCAGCAAGCCAACAACACCGAAGGAAGGAGAGACGGTGAACGACAGGTATACGGATGCCCATGGCTCACTGATGATGACGACCTACTGCAGGTCTTTTGCAGCTAAATCTTAATGTGCAGCGTTCCGTGAATGCAGATGCTTAGCTATTTCGCTGAGGTAAAGCAGGTGAATGTTTAATTTCGAGTTCATGTAGGCTGCTTTATCTGGCGTTAGCGAGAATTTAATGTTGGCAAAACTCAGCTAGCAAGAAGCGTCTCTGGCTAAGCCAAGCCAGGCGTGTGCCCTCTAATTAGTTCCATGTGCGGTTAGACTTCCGGTATGCTATTGTTTTGCTTTAACATGTTCATTTTAACAAGGTTAATTGTTAAAACTTGCCTCTAGAAAATTTTGCTATGACTTGGCGGTAACTCGCCTATCTCCTGTTGGCTCTGTAGTTTGGCTGCCAGAATGGGAACGGTGTTGCATATCGAATATACCCGGACTAGATTCAAGTTGGCACCCTCTTGTTTTAAACACCCAAGTTGACTGTTTAGAGGACACTGGTCTTGGACACGGATTTCTTTGTTGTGGTGGAGAAACCTTTTTAGGTACATGCGTGAGAATTGCGTTTTTCTGCGACGTCTGTTTAAAATGGAGCCTCATTTAGATTGAAGTCCAAACATCAGCTGCCAGTCATTAATGAACGGCCCGAAATGCCTGTTTTTGTTTAATTTAAAACTCGTATTCAAAATATCAGCAGGCTTTATTGACAATTGAAGCAATGCCAGGAATAAAGGTAGACGAGGTGGATTCACTAGCTTTTGTAGCGCTTTAAATTATCTCATCCATTGTTGGCTTCATACTAAAGTTTGAATATAAACCTTGTGATGCAAGCAAAACCTACAGAGCTGCTAAAATATTCCTGTATCGTTTTGTTCAAATTGTATTGACAGTACTAGTACTTTATTACTTATGCTCACTTGCTGTGTTTTGGCAATATGCACAACAGTAGAACCATACTTTGCATAGATGTATAAACAATATTTGTTCATTTCCCCCACTTTCATGAAAGGCAGGTTTTACAGTAAGAATGTATTTCAACACTTCATATGTGCACCTTAAGACCTGAATACATCAGCTCTAGAACTTGAGGCACAAGGCCCAGTGAAGACAATCCAAAGCTTTGTGGGCTTGCACTACAAACCTCATAACAATTCAGATGGTAAATTGTTTGTTCATTGTGCATATGTTGCATCAAATTCTTAGTGTTGTGGATAGCTTCTCAATGTAAAATTTAACATTCCTTCAGTTTAGTATTGCTTAAATGTGTAACCTTTCATGAGTGGTGCTTTACAATGGCAGAGCAGTTTTAAATTACTGTTAAAGATTAAATTTGTGTAGTCTTTCATAAATTGAGGGTAAACAAAAGTGACTGTTCCTTATAGGTTTGATGGCGATTAACCCAGCAGAGGGATGACATCAGTATTCTTTCCTTGGAACTTGCCACCAGTAATTCCGACAGCTGTTTCAACATGTGAGATGACATCTTTTATTTTAAACTTTTCCTTTTTCTAAATGCAAAGTTCCAAATCAATAGTGTCCATTCTGCATATAGAAAGATGTTCACTGCCCAGGTACAAATGTGCCTACTAAAGCAAACTTAACGGGTTGAAATTGTGGAGTATAATCATGCTTTAAACTCAAGCTTTTTCCTTTTAGACAATCCTTAACCAGATGTCATTCTTTGGCCAGACAATCGGCAGCATTCTTGAGGACATGCACAGAGACGGGCAAGTTTTATAATTTGACCATTTATTACTGAAATCATGGCTTCAAACTGTTTTCTCTTCTTCTGCAGGCTCTCCTCAGCAGCTGGTGGAGCTGGATGGTTTTGGCTAAGATGGGAAATGCCTACTGGTGGAGTCATCAAGGTAGAGTACTTCACATCTTCATGCTGTTGCAATGCAGGTGCCTGGATCAGTTGTGAAGACTTCTCGAATAACTAGGAGTCTTCATAACTGGCCCAGGCACATGTAGAAGATGAGGTACTCTACCTTGGGCAAAAGCGCAGTTTCCAGGCCCTGTTTTGTTTTTCTTCAATAAAGCTATGACAACTGTAAGACTTTCTTGTTCTGTTTTAATATCAAAGATGGCAGGTACTGGTTATAAAGTAGCAAGACCTGAAATGGCATGATTTTATAGGGGCCAAAAAGTTGAAAGCTGTCTTGTTCTGCATGAGTGACCCCAGTCGTATCAGCTCATCTTGGCTTCAAGGCAGGCTAGGGGAGTGCACACAAACTGCAACAATCCACCGTTAAAGAAAAATCAAGTGTAGACACTCCACTAAAGCATTCAAATATTCTACAAGGCTGTCTGCTTTGAAAAGCAGTTACTACCATAAATGAGGTTACTTGTACAGAAGTTAGACTGCATACAGTCAGTTTTTTTGCAGCATCAATGAAGAACTCCAGAGCAATGGCTGCCTTGTTTCTGGCCACTAACAGTTAACTCAGCTTTCACATGAGAGCAATGGTCAATCACTGTTATGACAATGTTTGCCATAAACATTACAGATGGAAGCAAGTTTAGGGCACAACAAAGCATTATCATAAAGTGTTACACTACAGTTCATTCCAATCCTGTGTACAATTGCAGTGTGAAAATAGAGATCGTAATATGCACACGTCGTCTTAACACCATCTATCAAACTAGGACGTTTGGAACAAAGAATGAAACGTCATTCAATTGCATTTAGATTTTAAAACTTTCATTACAATTTATATCAAAGTTGCTCAAACAGTTTGTCAGAAAAAAGCTGAGAAATTAGTCTGACCTGAACTTGGCAGTGCTAGTATAGTACTCTCACCACAACCTTAAAATACTGTACGTTTCTCACCTCATCAATTTGCAGTTGATGTCCAAATGCAGGAGTGATGGGCCCGGAACGCTGTCGGTCCTCCTCGTAACACGCCCGAGACTATTTAATCTTGTGCGTGGGTTCTGTGGCTTATTGATAGATACATGGGGGGAGTTAGTCCTATAATGTCTGTCCTACTTATAACAATTACTCTGATCACAGAAACCTGTACAAACTAGCAGTGACTATTTTTACTTTCAGTAACTTAAATATATTTCGCTGCTAATGCCTTCGCACTATTATTTAAGCAACATTTTGAATGTAGCACTCTTACCTGTAACAGGGCATCTCAGTAAAAAGACGCCGACCGGTTTTAACCTCGTGGTCTTCATCAGGGCGGAAACGTACAGGTGCAAATGAGTTGTTGGGATTCTGTGCTGATGAAGACCCAATGAGGTCCAAACCGGCCGGCGTCTTATTTTCTCCTCTATTGAGAAGGTTTCAGAATTAGCCTGACAATTGACAAGCTCAAGCAAATAAAAATAATAAAAAAAAATGTACTGGACGGTTTAAGGTTACCCTTGAAAATTTTCTTGCTAGCAGAGGTTTGCTGACGCCCTACATTAGCATTCGGCTAACGCTACATAAAGTATCCCACCTGAAATAGAAGACATAATTTTGGACAACTGTGTTAACAGCAAAGCACCTGCGCGCAGCCTACATACAGAACGCAACACATGAAATGCTTACTGTGATTTTCCACAAATTTCGACCCACCTGAGTAGCACAACAGCTCCCGCTGGTACGCATCTTAAATCTCCGCTGCAATCAAACTTACAGAACTGCCACCGGATACTAACTTGAAGGACCCAGCTACCACCTGATTGGACAATTTCACTCTGCTCTGTGATTGGACTGTCACTGTCCAATCAGATTCTTTTCAATCTTCTTCTTCTGTTGAACAATGGCGGTTGGCAAACAGCTTTAGGTGCATTACCGCCACCTTCTAGAGTGGAGTGTGGATCAGAACGGCCCCTACCTACTGTAACAAAATAATCTCGCTCAGTTCACATCATACTATCTTGCTTAACGCTGTGCTCTCTAAAAACCTAATAAGTGCTCTGTATCCTATATCCCCTGATCTTTGTCCAATCAGATTCAGGTGTGATTCACACTAAACCTCAGTACTTCTAATTAGAGTTGTATATGCAATTTGCACTGTACAATCTGTACACAGATGTTAACAAAAACGATTGTTTCCAGTGTCTTTGTATAACAATTTGTTTACAGATTTTATTCACACACTCAAAAACATTTTTTACGTACAAATCTTTCCTACACATGCTCACAAAAATTGTATATACATTGCTATTTGTACCACTAAATTTCCATTCATTTGAATGGTTGACAGTAATGGGTCACACTTGTTAAGATTGGTGTAATGCTGTGTACCACCACTAAAAGGCAGCTTTACTGTGTGATGAGGAGAAGAAACAGGAAAAAGAAAAGTTACAAGACATGTTTTAAGCTTTTAGGCAAAACTGTGGCTTATTCCTCCCATTTATTTTTTTTAAATAAAATCTAAAACCACTAACATTTAGTATGAATAAAGAGAGGTTTCAAATAAATACTGTACAGAGATACATGTAAGAATTAACAGTTTTCAGCTCCTTTGGCAAGTCTAGCACCGCAGCTTATCATATGTTGTCAAATGTAGTTTATATCTAAAGAATCAGAACAGAGCGATGTATCCTTTGTTACTTTTAGTCAACATAGGATAGTACTGAATGTTAGGAGTTGTTTACTTTTCCTGACAAACACACAAAAAATACTGTTTAAACGTTGTTTATTCTGCAAGTTATCTTACAACAAACCATACACCTGCGTCAGCTTCATCCACTGCTGTCTGCATTCTCATGGCGATTTTGCATTTATTATTTTTCCTGCTCCACCACAGGTTGATTCTCCAACTAATGATGACCACAGGACAAGACTGAATTGCAAAAAATGGACAGTAATTCAAATTTTCAACTTCTTCACTGAAAGATGGGATCAGATGCTCACCGTAGTGCATCATCATGTGTGTCATTTCCTTCCCTATGCCCGTGCCTCTGTGACTGGGCTCTGTAGAAAACAAGGGTAATATAGCATCAACATATAAAGAGATATACACAGGAAATGATTGAGATGAACAAACCACAGAACAGGCTGACTGTAGATATTTGCTCAGCCTTTGATTTTGAATCACTTTTATGATAAGCACACTGGGCATCACCTGCTATCATGATCTCCAGCTCAGCCAAAGAGAGGTCTGTTTAGTCTGTCAGGAACATGTTGACATCTCCCACCATGCATTGTTCCTCTTCTATACTGGGATCTGCCCATTGCTACTTATCCAAGATGATGAATGTGCACTCTGACAAAAAATAAAAAAGTCAAATTAAACAGCTTTTCTTTAGGTAAAAGTTGAATGATTTTACTAGTGCATGACCTCAGAAAGAATGACGTCTTATTTTCACATCATATCCAATGATTACCGGTTAGTTATAAACACTTTAACCTAACAAATCTGATAGATGATGGTATGAACGTTTGGAAGGAATGATTTGGAAGCCATAAGGACAGAACTTGAAAGCAATGTTGACCTCATAAAGCAAATGCCACTGAATCATATTTCACTTTTTCCTATCATAAGTTGTATTAAATAAGTTTCTATTATTTGGACAGTGTGTTAGCTTCTTTATGTAGGCATTGTAAAAATTCTGAATGTTAAAAACTTGTTACTCTAACTTAGAATAAGTTAACAAAAGTAAAAGAAGTTCTCTCATATTTCCCTTCCCAGCCACTGCTGTATGATCGGTTCAACCAAAGATTGTTTTGAAGTCTTACTGTCATCATCTTCCCTCCAGCTCCCCTGCATGTCGTACTCCTGTTCCAGGGTCAGTGGCTCTGAGGCAGTCAGATGCTGCAGCTCAGGACACTTCATCCATTCATGATACCTGAAGAGTGTAAACAGGTGGATAAGAAACAGGGACTGCAGGTTTCTATAGCTTTAACTTAATCATGTTAGGACTGGAGCTGGTTCTGCTGTGCCAGTTAAAGAGACTTCAATCTGTCAAAGGATCAAAAGTTTGTATTGGCAGCTGGGTCATCTATCATAAGTTATTTCTTCACCACAAAGAGCTTTCAGATGCTCCGTGACAAATGAGACTGTATGATACGATCGAAAGCCCCAGAAAAGATACTAAATGGAACTTGCGATGAGATTGTTTTCTAAATATTATTACTTGCAGACTTATTTAGAAGTCAACATGAAACCCATCTGCCATGTTTAAACATTGATAGTAAAGAAATGACATTCAAACACTCATCACTAAAGATATCAGCAGAGGAAAATAAAAGAACAAAGTGACAGGCTTCCTGTGTGTAACAACACTGATCAGGTGTTAATGTTAACGTTACCTGGGCAGGTACTTTGGATTGTAAGGAATCAGCACAACTTTGTGTCCCTCCAGTAGCGTGTTCTCGTTTATCTTCATGGTGAATGTTGCTCACCTAGCGCACACGACACATTTGTTTTTTTTCCGGGGTTCTTTCCGTGCTCTGGAGTCCACTGCACATGTACACTAGGGGGCGGTGGGGAGACAGCGGCCGAACTTTCTCAGGCTGCAGCGTTGAAATATCTGCGGCAAGTAAAAATCACATGCAATTACAAACACAACTTTCATCTAGACACGTTTTTATTAGAATCAGAATCAAAATCTGCTTTATTGGCCAGGTGTGTCGGACACACGAGGAATTTGGGTGACTCTGGTACATCGGCTCTCAATGTGTATGTACATATCCCCATGCAAGGGTCAAGTAAACAGTAAACCAGCATAAGGCTGTGTAATATAACCAAATAAGCAGTATTAACGAGCAACAACCAGTGCAAACAATGCAAAATAAGCAGTATAAACTGGCAGTAAACAATGCAGACAGACAGAGGAATGCTCATTGAAATGAGATAAATAGGAATAAAAATAGAGTACTTAAAAATAGAGACCTGTACGGATCTGTACAATCTGTACAATGTATATTTACAGGTATTGCACTGAGGGTTATTGTCCAGTCATACTGTCGTGGGTCAAATGTTCATCAGATTGACAGCCTGGGGGAAGAAACTGTCCCTGTGCCTGGTTGTCTTGGCGTACAATGACCTGCAACGCCGTCCAGAGGGGAGGAGTTCAAACAGGTTGTGTCCCGGGTGTGATCCTCTCCACCCTCCTTTTGACCCGTGAGGTGTACAGGTCTTCCATGGAGGGTAGGCTTGCACCAATGACCTTTTCTGCAGATGGAAATCGCCTCAAGGCGTTTTACAAATGACGAACTTTAGCACTTTTATTCTATTATTTCGGACTTTGTGTGTATGTACATGCACATGTGTGTCTGTGGATCTGTTCATGTTTGGTTGCTTAAATGGCTCTGCCCAATCCGTGGCACAACTTCACCGGCTCCTGTGGAGTGTTGACCATGTCCATACAGTGCTGCAGCTGAGGGCCTCTGGCATACATGAAGGGCCCTAACACCAGCACTCCCAGTAGGACTGGAGGCTCTGGAAGAAAGATATATGAATATCACTGTGTCCCCCCACCCCACCCCCCAACGGTGCCCCTACCCCTGCAACTGACTACAGTGTAATTAATTTAAAGGTTTTTTCAGAAGATGCTGATTTGCATTTGCAGTGAAATGATCTCCATTACAGTAATATATTTAATATATTGCTCTCAGATTACTGAGAACTGCTGAATATTCTCTGAACCAGTAGGTGGCAGTGTCCTGCTATATTTAAACCACTTCTCCGTCTGATGTGGAGTGAAAGCGCAACAAATATAACCTGTTTTGTTTTGGGTGTTTATTTGTTTGTTTTAAATAAAAGCAAAAAGGATTTTTCAGATTTAACTGCATCGCTAAGTTTTCAGTGTGAAAGTCTAGACTTTTGTGAAATTCTCCTTATTAGAACAGGATCAGGAGCAGCCTTGCTGGTTTTTGCTCACTTACATTTTAGCAGTGTGGATGCGGAGGATTGAAGATTGATCCTTGATTAACTACTAAACATCTACTGTTTGTTTTAACCACTACATCCTAAACCCACTTCGGCTCCCTGATATCTGAAAAACACCAGCATCTTGCGTTTGAAGGAGCGAGTTGGTAGAAATTAAACGAATAAATTCCGTTTTTTTTTAATCACATTTAATGACGTCCTCTGTGGAGCTGTCCGCTGGAGGGTGGTGCTGAAACCAAAGTTTTGTTCTAACTAAATTAAAGATAAATCAGTGTTTCTTTGTAGCAGTCACTGTTGAGCTCATGTAGTTTATGATAACTAAAGGTTGTGTTATTGAGTGTACATTAAACCGAATGTGCGCGGTATCCTAAATGTATCCTTACATTTTTTATAATTACCATTTTAAATTTAGTATATGAAATACAATATCAGAAAAACTGAAGCAAGCATCTTCGGTTCTGCTTTGAAGCAACTGGACAGTGGGCACTCGGGATTTCATGTATAATTAGCATAAAAGATCTGGAGATGCTGGAGAATAGCAGGACTGTGCGTCACAGCCATCGGCGAACATAGGAAGGGGGAGGGGGCACCTATGGAAGTCTATGGAATGTAGACTACTCCTTCCACGGCCGACAAAAAAGGAGTCCGGCTTATGTGAAATGATGACTTAGTTCACAACGTTACAGGTGACTGGAGACAGCTGGAAGAGTCTGGGAGCCAAAGAAGCGCAGCTCACGGATCGAAAACAGCGAGTGCTATTATGGAGTTGGTACTGTGAACTGTAGGCGAATACCCGACCCAAGAGTGCTGTCCGGGACCAGCACGTCACCTGAATGGTGGGATATGAGAAAATGAAGCAACTAGGGAGGACAGTGGATAAAAGAGTCCAAGTCACGAAAGCGGAAAAGCGCGTGCGATGACGAACGGCTCAAGGAACAGAGAAGAGCTAAAGCAGAGGAAAGTTAGTTAGCTCATTAGTAAGGCTCCCGGTGCTGGAAAAGAATACAAAACAAAATAGAGAACAGATGCGCCAAGCTTGCGTAATTTCATAAATAGATCAACTGGGGAAAGCCGATTTTATTTTTCAGAAAACGAGACTCGAAAAATCATGGAGCCGGAGGGAAACACAAAGGAACAAGCCCCCAGTATGGCTCAATCTGCCGCCTCCAAACTGTCCCAGATGAGCGAAAGAACTAAACAACTGGGTAATGTCATCCAAAACCCAGAGCGGCAGAAAAGGATCATTCTAATAATAGTATCTGTAGTACTTTTGTTAGACAATATGCTTTACATGGTTATTGTGCCAATTGTACCTGACTACCTTAAAGGGCTACAGACCGCAGCGGATCATGCCCAAGATGCTGCAACGCACACCAACTCCACTAACAGCACCGTCCACGAAGTAACCAAGGGGAACTTCGACCTACAGATAGGTGTTCTTTTTGCCTCCAAGGCCATCCTACAGCTCCTGGTGAACCCGCTAAGTGGCACGTTTATAGACAGGGTTGGCTATGATATCCCACTCTTCATTGGACTCAATGTCATGTTTCTCTCCACTGTTATTTTTGCCTTTGCTGAAAACTACGCGACTCTGTTCCTGGCGCGCAGCATGCAGGGCCTTGGCTCAGCTTTCGCGGACACTTCGGGGATCGCTCTGATCGCAGACAGGTACACAGAGGAGGCGGAGAGGAGCAAAGCGCTGGGAATCGCCTTGGCTTTCATCTCTTTTGGAAGTCTTGTGGCGCCCCCCTTTGGAGGGGTTCTTTATGAGTTCGCAGGGAAGCGGGTGCCCTTCCTGATTCTGGCCTGTATTTGTCTCGCTGATGGTGTATTGTGCCTGACTGTTCTAAAACCCTTTTCTAACCGAGAGAGACAAAACATGCCAGTCGGCACCCCTATACATAAACTGATGATTGATCCTTATATAGCTGTAGTGGCTGGTGCTCTGACCATTTGTAATATCCCTCTAGCTTTCCTTGAGCCCACTATCGCAAAATGGATGGAGGAAACCATGCATTCCAGCGAGTGGGAGATCGGCATGACATGGCTCCCCGCTTTCTTCCCGCATATCTTAGGTGTATTTCTCACTGTCAAATTAGCCGCCAAGTACCCTCATCGCCAGTGGTTTTACGGAGCTATAGGTATGGTGTTCATAGGCGCGAGTTCCTGCACAGTCCCAGCCTGTAAAAACTTTGGACAGCTCATGATCCCGCTGTGCGGAATCTGTTTTGGCATTGCCCTTGTGGACACGGCACTACTGCCAACCCTGGCTTTCCTGGTGGATGTGCGGTATGTGTCAGTTTATGGCAGCGTGTACGCCATAGCAGACATCTCTTACTGTGTGGCCTATGCCCTGGGGCCCGTGGTGGCTGGACAGATAGTGCACGACCTGGGCTTTGTTCAGCTCAACTTAGGCATGGGCCTCGCCAATGTACTTTACGCACCGGCGCTCCTTCTGCTGAAGAATGTGACTCAGATGAAGCCTTCTTTCTCCGAGCGAAACATGCTCCTGGAGGATGGCCCGACGGGACTGTATGATACGATTAAGATGGAGCAACGAGAGAAGAAGAGAAAAGGTCTGTGTACAACGATCGACGAGAATGGCATTGAAACCTTTGCGCAACGGTCGTATTCAGATGAGGAATCCTCTGGAGTAGAGTATGTGTAAAAGACCTTAAGTGAATGTAAAACTAAGTGCCCATGTAGATTTGTGTGCATCCTTTCAGAGCTAATCAACTGCATAACACGATTAGGACATAACATCAATTATTTACTGCTTCTGGTGAGAAGTCCTCTGGTGACAGCTCCTCCGGGTATTGTCAGATCAAGTAGCTTTCAGTAGAAAGGCGCTCGCTGGTGTTCATTATTATCGAAATAAGAGTATTGTGAAAGACTTGATGAGATACATGTTTGCTCATAAAAATATATATCACCGTATCAGAAACTAATTTATATTGTATTCAGGGATTATGTGAAAATGTATTTTATCAAGAGACCAGTTATAATGTATGTGTCTTTCAGTATATTCTGTATTTGCTTTGCCAGAACTAAACTCAATATGAAACACTATGCGTCCCACGACAGTTTTAGAAGGATACAACTGAAGTGAAATCTGCGTCTTGTTGTTTGTTTATTTTGAATAATGTGCTTCTGGAATGCATAGCCTCTGACTGTATGATCTGTGACTGTACAGACATGTATATTCATGTACATAATGAAATCAGTATTATGCAAACGATACTGTTTATGGAAATTATTTATTAAGGTGACAAATTTAATTATTTATCGCGTTACATGATCATTTTTATCAACCGGCAGTGAAGGAATCCTCAATATTACAATGGTTATATTCTAAAAACGTAGATTTTTCACTCAAACCTTTTTTTTTTGCCTCTGAACAAACATGAATTAAACACTCAGGTTATACAGTTATTAAGGTTAATACACTGAGGTAGTTTTGTGATCGTACTGTAGAAAAACAAAACAACCAATGGTGAGTAATTAGAAGGAAGTTAACTTTCCCACTTTAAAAAAACTGATTTGAGACAACTAATAATTTCATCAAGGATCTTGAGGGTGATATTGTTTGTAAAACAGTCGGTTTGTCAAAGCATCTGTGCTTGTCCAAAATGCACATCTTTGAATAATATTAAAATAATTCTATCACTCAGCTGGAAGCAATGAATGCGCTTTTACATTTCTTGAAGAAAAGTGTTAAAAATTCTGAAAGTCAAAGAATAAGTTCATGCAAAATGCATCTTATTTGGTCTTCAGCAAAAATGTGAGCATCTGAGGCGTTCAGTCGGTGTCTAAGTAAGGTGGGGTAAAGATGTGAAGTGCCAAATAAACTTCTCGGCGAATGGCAAGACATCTGGGAGGAGCTTGGCTGCCAGGAGGGTGAGGTATCTTCTCAGCATCTCTCCTGAGCCAGCAAGGGACTTGTGCACCAGGATGGGGACTGAAAGATGCTCAAAATGATAAAGGATCGAAGTAGTGAAATTTGAAAGAAATTCTGCCAGAAATGGATTCAAGTCAAGATGGAGAATCCTAAACTTCTTGCTTGAGTCCCCACTTCGAATGGGAATTTGTTCCTTTCTGGTGAGTAAAACATGTCATTTTATGACATATTCTCTTCATTTGGTCTGTGTATTAATATTAGCTATGACTGCATGGCAAGAAAAAATGTGCAGGTGTGTAAGACGATTTGAACATAATGCTGCATGTGAAAATCTCTCAACATGCGCATTCTTTTGATGTTTAGTCAGAATGGTTATTCATTTGTCATAATTATTCCAACAAGTTGTGCTTTCATTCAGACTGTTATATTGACTATCAGCTGTTGTAAAACCCATTCATTTGAACTTGATAATGATATTGTTTATTTATGAACACAGAGTCGGTCCCAGCTTGACTGCCCCTCTGCGCCTCCAACATGCCAATTCTGGACAGAGAGCCCTCCAAAGATTTAGGGGGTGGAGATGTAAATATCTTATATCTGATTAATATGAATATAGAATCCATTTGACTTGAATATGTAATAAATAATTCATTCAATTAGAAATGCAAAAGGTCAAATGAAAGTAAATATTAACTAAGGCATAAAAGTGACTTTTAAAAACTAAGAAGGAACTTATGAATGATGTATCATTATAAGAATAAATCCTACACTATGACATTGTAATTAAATATTATTTTATACTGAGTCAGCTGAAGTGAATCATTTAAAAATCTGGCTTTTAGTTTTTCTTAGCTAAAAAGTACGATTAAAAAGTTACAACTAATCTTAACTACTATAATTTTAAAACATGTTCTTGATAAATTGATACAATTCGTGTGTCAGAGGACATTCAGAACTTTACATGTTAATTTTCTTTAAGAAATGATGGTGAGTTTTTCATCCCCCTCAATGTTCAGGTTCTGCCAAAGCTGCCGCTCCCTGCTCTGAAAGACACACTGGACATGTACTTGAAGTGCACGAAGCACCTGGTCACAAAGGAACAGTTTCACAAAACCGAAAATATAGTGAAGGAGTTTGGAGCCCCTGGAGCCGTGGGGGAGCTACTACAGAGTAAACTCATTGAGAGAAGGGAGAACACAGCAAACTGGGTAAATGCAATTATTTGGGCAAAAACAAACAATAATGATGTGTGCAAGTCATTTCAAATCCCAAAAGAATTTGTTTTAGCAACACAAACCATTATGATCAATACAAACTTATGTGCAAATAATAGACACTATTTTATTTCAAGGTCCAAAGTCATCAGTAAATGACACTAGTAAGAACATGAAGCTTTAAAGGGCTGACCACCATTTCTTTAAACAGTTTTGCATACATTTGTTGCATAATTGATATACAAAACTTAAAGGTTTAGCTTATATTGAAAAGAAATGAAATTTGTGTGACCATAAATCAAATGATAGGCCTGTTCTACACCATTGTATACAAACACTAATGATGTAATCAGAGGTTGTATTAGATCCCTATTACTTAGATTTTATCTTTAAAGCAAATCCCTTTATTTTCTGCTGTAGGTGTATGACTACTGGCTGAATGATATGTACCTAAACAACAGACTGGCTCTGCCCGTCAACTCCAGTCCTGCAATGGTCTTCCCACAACAGAACTTCAGGGCTCCCATCGATGCCTTAAGGTATGAGACAACGCACAACCAAGGCAAATGAGTCACACCAGAAAATGTGACATATGTAACACAAGACAGACAAATATATTCCCATCTAATAGCGGGAGTAATATTTTTCAGCATTGCCCATTCTGTACCAGAGACCCTGTTAGTTACCACCTGACAGGCAATGTTTTATTATTACAGCATGAAGGCTTAAGAAATGATTGTGAACTGTATAAATTACTCAGAGACTGGCTTTGATCAATTTCAGCAAACTGAACACTTCTGTCTGCACACTGACAAATAGACTAATTACCCAGAACACCTGGAGGGCTGAGAGGCCAAGCCAGGCTACTGGTGGCAAGGTTAATAGACACTTTTCATGTTTGTTGGTTAACATTTTATAAATCTGGGATTTGCTCCTTAAACATACAGTATGACTAACAAAGCAGTTACACTGTTAAGTGTAATACAGCTTCAAAATAAATCAAGAACAAGGCCAAATACAGAGAACTATTTCCCCAAGCACAAACGGTGTACGTGAGAAGGACTGATCGTATACAATATGGTTGTGTTTTGTGAACAAGGTCTTTCTTTCCTAGGTTTGCTGCACACTTAATTTCTGGAGTTTTGGAGTACAAGACTCTTCTCGATGTGTAAGTTAATGTACAATGAGAGCAAAAATTGTTGACCGTATGTGAAAGAATGGGAGCACCACCTGTGTGTGCCCGTGTGTTTAGACGTTCTCTGCCCGTGGACTACGCCAGGGGCCAGCTGGCTGGAACCCCTTTGTGTATGGAACAGTACTATCGCCTCTTCACTTCCTACCGCCTTCCAGGACCCGAGAGGGACACACTAGTGGCCCAGGAGAGTTGTGTGATGCCAGAACCTGAACACATCATTGTGGCTTGTAAAAATCAGGTCAGGCAGAGTGAAACACAAATCCAAAGCTGCCATACACTAGTCAACATAACCAATTGAGTCCAAGGTCCAGTTATTGGATTTTTTTCTGGGGCTGTTGATTTTCAGGACCTCTCAGCTGTAATGGCTTATTAGTTAAGCATAAAAATGTATTATTGAAATTCATTCTTTAGAAATGTTAATGTGACAAAATTAGCTCAAGGTTCACCTTATATTTTTTTCCAGAGTAACATGCTGTCTTGACCTTTCGTGCATAACATATAAACTAACAGAAGAGAGGTCTGTGAGAGATAACTTTGGTGAGACCAAAGTTATAAGTGGCAGAAATCGTCAAAACTATGAAAATAAACAAACAATGAAATACGCAGGAATTGTCTCTCATGTGCCCAGTGCCACTGACATCGCATAGCCAACCAGATAACCACGTGTCTGTGAGGTTAGGGAATAATTCTCCTATGTTTTGTTTGCCCACTCTCAACTAATATTAAAGAGGTTTCTATGGGACCAGTGCACTGAAACAGTTAGTATCCAATCTGAATCTCTCTCCAGTTCTTTGTGCTGGATGTAGTGATCAACTTCCGCCGACTCAATGAGAGAGATCTGTTAACTCAGCTAGAGAAGATTGTCAAGATGGCTGGCAGTGAAGAAGAGCGGCTCCCACCTATTGGTCTTCTCACTTCAGATGGACGGACAGAGTGGGCAGAGTCACGTAGTGTGCTCATGAGAGGTATGGTTTGAAAAGAGTGTCAAGAATTTCCAGTAAAAGCACTCTATGGTCAGAAAGTCAATTTGTCTCACCAGAATGACCTTTTGTACTTATTATGCTCTAGAGTCTACTAACAGGGACTCCCTGGACATGATTGAGCGTTGTCTGTGTCTGGTCTGTCTGGATGACGCCAGTGGTCCTGAGCTAAGTGATACCACACGTGCCATGTTGATGCTGCATGGAGGAGGAGAGGCCAAGAATGGTGGGAACCGCTGGTACGACAAGCCCATGCAGGTCAGTATGCACAGATATTCTAATGCTACTTTTTCACATTGTGTGCTAGAGAAATAAATTATGTGTGAAAACTGGTTAAATATTTTTTATTAGAAAAAAAAAAACAATGAAGTAAAGTTGGTTCAACTCAACTGAAAATTGCATGACTGTGTCAGTTTGTTGTAGGAGCTGACGGCTGTTGTGGAGTCGTATGTGAACACTCGCCATTTGAAGGAATTGTCCTAGTGGAATGCACACAGTACCTACTCAAATATATGTAAGATATGAAATCTAACTAGATGCTGGAAATGCAAAATGTATGTGGTATTTGTTAGAATATACTTAGAAAATCTAAATAAGACTGTCCTAAAGAAATGATAAATGATATTATATTCCAACCTGACATCAGGATTGGCAGCCCATCAAAGCTGGTCAGAGCTGCCAGTGTGAGCGAGCTGCCTGCACCACGTAGACTCCGCTGGAAATGCACTCCAGAGATTCACAAACGCCTTGCTTCTTCTGCTGACAGACTCCAGAGGTCTCTGTTTACCCTGGCTCCTATTTAATCAAACAAAATGAAGGAATGCTTTCAACTCATATCAGGGTATATTCTTATTTTGCTCAGGCTGGTAAGAAATCTGGACATGAATGTCCACAAATTCAATGATTA